GATCGGGCAGGCAGTTGCAAAAAGTATAAGCGAGAAAGGGGGAGAGGTAACAGAGAAAGGGGAAGGAGAAGGCGAACGATAGAAGGCTGCACGAGTCGTTGAAGGTCCTCGACCTACGCTGTTAAGGACAGAGACCCCATCTAGGGACGCGAGATGCCCTTTTACTTGCTCTCTACTTTCGCATACAGTTTTGCGAAATTTCATTAATTTATAATAAACTCGTAATTTTTTTTTTTTATAAAAGCCTTCCGATTTATGATTTCTATCGCGATATAATAATTTATCACACAATTCAAAGATTCAAAATGTAAAATTAATTTTGTATATGATGCCATCATTTTTCTACGCGGCAAATTATATGTTAAATTTTTTTAATCACATATATTTTGTATAATTTCGGATCTGGGTTCGATAGAAAACAAACATTTTTTGTTACTCTCTACTAATTTGCGTCTGATCGATGCATCATCATTATTGTGCTAAAAGCTTGTAATACTGCAGTAGCGACGTTTACTATCAGGAGACTCAAAAGGGTTAAAACGAATCGATCACTCGACGAAGGTACCGTAGGGTCTTCGACCTCTTGTCGTGCGGTGAAGGTCCGCGGATAACCTACTCCTTGGTTACTGCACTCGATGTCGGTGACCGGGACGTCGATCCCTCAGAGAAGGCGAAAGACCTTCGTGGACTACTTGGGACCGCGAAATAGAAGACTACGACATTCGCGCGATAATGTAAAAAAAAAGAGGACACGTGGCTGGCCTGCGGCACTTTCGAGCTCAAATTGATGATTTGTGCCCAAATTCGCGGAAGATGTAGGTCTTACTAAAAGCATTCCTGGATTTGGACGAAAGTAATTGACTCTTTTTGTACTTACTTGATTATTTGAATTCTGTATTAATGAGAATTATTTGTCACAAAAAATAATTTATTATCCAAAGGGTATAAATTTCATATTAATAAATTTCATTATTTTTCTCTCCCTAAAAAAAAAAAGTATTTTACGAATCCATAGATCCTTAATTATATAAAGAATAAAAGAATGTCTGTTCTTCACTTCCAATATTTCTATAATAGATGGCGAATTTAAAGAAAAAAAAATGATCGTGAATTTGGTATATTCGTCTATGGTATGCCCTTCGATTCTCATTCAAGGTCCACAACGGGGGTGCAGTGAACATCGGCTCTTCGGGGTTTCCATAGCGACCGCCACTAAACTACCCTTGCAACGCCCACCCGAGGGCTGCGTTTCTACTTTCCACCCTCTGTCTCGACCGATCAAGAGCTATCGCGCTTGCAGTGGTTCTGAAAGAAAGCGATATAGATCTCGTAACGAGAATGTTGCCTTCATTAAAATTGAGGAATAATTGCTATTAACATCAGAGTTTAAAATCCTATTTATGGAAATATCATTAATTTTCTACTTCCATTCATTAAAAAAAAAATTAGTTGCATAAAAAAATTATTCGAAATATGACTCATATAAGTCATATAGTTAAATAAATATATTATATAATATATATACATAAATTTATAAAATAATAGATATATATATTTCTACACATAGTTCTAGATTTATTTTTAGATTAAGGAGACATATATATTTCGGTACTAGCAGATAAGATATTGTGTCTGCTATATGATTTCTCGAATACACTTTATTATTTACAATTTTGATTTTAAGATGTTGAAAATCATGGGGTAAAAGTGGAGACGGAAATGTCAGTCAATCCAATATTCCTATATGCCAGCCTGAATGTTGCACTTTATCGATTGGACGGTAGACGTGCGTTGCTATGACTACGCGAATACACCGTAAAACTACCTTCGGCTCTTGCAACATTCGCCCTTGTGTGGTATGTACGTGGCTTTTATAGGGCAGTTTACGATGCACCCCCGTATACTTGCGTCGCGCGACTGCACTGGCAGGATGAAAGGCTTGGCAATGAACAAAGACGTGGGTGCAGACGTACGTTGACTTCAGGCGGAAGAACCTCATCAAACCCTGTAATCAACCCCTTCTGTTTTAATGTCACTTCGAAGTAATGCACCCCACATATATATGTACGCGCGCGAGTGTTATTTCTCAAATACATATATATATACATATACATATATATACATATATATATATATATATATATATATATGTAATACATAAATTAAAAAAAAATATCTATGCTTATACATGTATATCCCCTTTATGTAACATTGATTTTTTTTTTTAAATTGCGGCCTTGTTGGCACTACCATGACTTTCATTTTTATAAAGATAAAGTTAAAAAGATAAGAAAGTAAAGTAGTTCGTTGAATGATGTCAGCATTTTTTTACAAGGCATAATTTTAGTAAGAAATATAATCAGTTGCACAATCATAATTAATTAATTCGAATGAACAGTTTGACACGAAAGATCACGATTAATTTGGAAAATTATTCGTCCCAATTTCCAAAGTTCTTCACTACCCAGACGAGGTGACGCAATCTCTTTCTCTCCCCCGGGCTCGCGGTCCCTCACGACGCTGCTGTGCGAAGCAAGGGTCGGTTGACTCTCGTCGCTATCCCTAAAGCATCTTGGAACAAAGACGATTCCTAATTCGATCGTGATGCTTTGTTCGTTCCACTTAGAGACACATGCGACTTTATTCGTTTTGAATTTTCCATCCTCTCGTCGCTCGCCATATTATCATCGTACCTCACTCAACGTTATATAATATAACGTCATCAATAAACATTTTTATTTCAAATTGCAATTTTTTTTGGCAAAAATTTAATGAGCGATTTATTATAATTTTTATAATGCGTTTTTTCTAAATGTCTACTAGAATCTTTAAATATGTAATACACAATATCTAAAGATATACGACTTACCATATATACTGAAAACTCTACATAAAACTATTCAAGAATAATAACTATTCCTCATAAATAAGTAAAGCGAATAAAATAAACCACGAAGGTCGATATGTTCGGTATATTGGCGTTAAAATAAAAATGAGAGTTTCTTCCGATATTATGACGGTGTTTGGTACGCATTATCGCCATATGACGAGTTTTCGCCGATTGGCAAAGATACCGGAAGAGAGGGCATCGGGATTCCGGGGCTGATTGCGCGGGACAAGGTCGTCGTTACCCTGACAACGGTATAGTCGGCGCGGCACGTGCTGCCTTGGTTCCTCATCGTCTACTGACCCCAAAATGTGCGCGCGACGATCACTTTGGACGTACTCGTGGGATTTGGGTTACTGTCACGGGTTAGATAGGAAGTGGCGGAGAGATAAAATATCGAGAATATTGAGTCGATTCTCTCGTCCTTCGGATTTATTGATATTGTCATGCGACGCGACAGCAATTTGTAATATTGCGCCGGAAGTACGGCGAGATCTAGCCCCGTTTGTGGTAATCATAAGATATTAATTTATATACACTCAACTAAATGAAAATCAAAAAAAGATAGGTTTAAGAAAGGGATTCATGTTCATTTCGCTGAAGGTCGATAGAATAACGGCCCCTGTAATCGATCAAACGGTTCTAAAGAAAAATATAGCTGAGTAACTCTCCTAATGTTATGTGTACATATATAATTTGTCCTACTTTCCGTACTTTCAAATAATAAAAAAAAAATCTTTCCTTTCAATATAATGCAGTCTATATAAATATAGTTAGTACTATATTGAAAAATGAGAAAAATATAAGAAAATAATACATATGATGAAAATCTGGGAAGAAAATCTAAAATCTGGTCAAGAAACGTATCGAGAGAGGAAAATAAAACAAAGACTGTCTTCGCTAAAGGAGAACGAAATCTGCATTGTTGAGTGGAATGCGAAGTGAAAACGCTCTATCCCTCTCCCTCCCCTCCTACTCTCCCTGCCTCGGTGATGGGAGGCTCGTGGGGTTGCAGTCAATTTCTTTCTTTGTCTTCGGCTCCACGTGTCACGCAATATTTCGGTCGTAGGGCAGCGACGTTTCGCGGACAAAGAGCTCGGTCCTCGTTGATGTATAGCCGTTCGGAAGCCCGGAATCCGGCGAGCTCGGTGAAGGCTAAATGGGGTGAAGGTCTCCGGGGTTCGAAATCGTGCCGGGACTTTAGGGGCGGTTAGTGGAGAGGAAGATCGAACTTGGCCGAGAAGGGTCGGGGGTGGCGACAGCGCGTCCTCGAACTCTAAGCTTCAAGCTCGCAGCTCGTTTCCGGATCCTACATCTATTTATACGAAAAACGCTAAACGTATAGTCCCCTGTATTTCCGACTTTGCTTTCTCACCACGTATCATACCCGCATGACGTTCGACTCTCATAGGGAGATTCAATTTACATACATATAATAATAATAATAATATATTTTAAAAAATAGATATTTTTTTGTGTGATAGATAAATATTAAAATAAATTTAAAATATATAGATTGAATGTAAAATTTATGGATCTCGAAAGCAAACGGTATGTCTTCTCAGAAAAAAACAACAGTTCGTTTGATCCTATTTTCAGCATCAAAGTATTAAATTACGGTCAAAGAATGACTTGCTGATTGCGAACACTGATTCCATAGTGCGAATCAGGCTTTATGAAGATATCCCTAACCTACAGCAAGCAGTATCATAGTGTCAATCACATGCAGATACACGTTCCCCCTTTTGTAGCATCCAACGCTTGTGACAAGATGGTAGCGCGTTGCATCGCTTCGGCAATGTATTTGTAGGAAACTATACATATAGATACATCCCCTCTCCCTGCCTCTCCCTGTCGTAGTTATCCGCCCTCCTGTCATTCCCACTTTTGCCCTCTCGTGCTTTACGCGCGGACACACGCTCGCGACTGCAAGTATGTAAACTCAAGGGACGCTCGGGTCAATAACCCTTTACCGCAATGGTAGAAATATTACATTCCTTGCGATATTAGTCATAATTGAAGTATCTCGATCTATAAAATAATAAAGCGTGTATCTTTATACGATCAATAAAGCTATAACATAATTTTTATATGTAATTTTCTTTTGTTTCAGGTAAGTTCATGATGACTATTTTGGTGCCTGTATCCATATTGTCGAGCATAAACGTAAGTTCTTATATAATAATTATCTATAGTAAACATTAATCACATTATAGTGATAATAATGTTATATGTATACATATGTCTATGTTTTGAGTTTTGACATTTGTAATCCGCATTCGATCAATGGAATAAAGTTGAGCGATGTTAAAAAATAAATCGACAATACAAATAACCGATTTGAAAACCTATATACAATGATTTTTGATTAATAATACATTTTTTATTTTATACAACGCATCGATAATAATAATCGGATATATTGTCGCACGGACATTTGCATTTTATATACTTGTATTAGCTTTCATTTAATTTGTTGTCAAAAATCATTGTTGCATGTAAAGCTATCTCGCGTTTATTTGCATTCATACTAAAAAGAAAAACAAACATCGGTGAACCACGTGGCCGCTTATGTGCGCGTCGCGTACACGTGAAACCTGTTGCTGCGTTGCTGAAATGAACAACGTTTAAATAGTAGTGTATACGCTGAAAAGCAGATGTCGCTCAGCGATACGATGCTAGCAGACTCTATCGGGAGTATTGTAAAGCAGAGTGATCTGGCAAGCTTCTCACGTTTTCTCTTCTCTCTGCGCGGTCTGAACTGTACTGCCACCTACTAGTTCGACCGACCCGTCGAGCGAGAGTGATCTGCCCGATACGGAAGTTACCTACTTGACTGACTTTAGTCAGTCCGATTACACGAGTCCGGGATCTTTACCAGTCGCGCGAACAGTTCTTACAACGCAATAAGTGAGAATTGTTCAAACCGATATGTCGCTGTTTTGTTTACGGATGTAAAACCAGCGAGTAAAAATAAAATGTCTACTCTTCTGATTTATTTGGATTTTCGCGTTATAAGATATTAGATACTATACAAAAATTGATGTATCTTCTTTTAATTATAAAGATAAACTATAAAGTATAAATACGGTGTATCATGTACGTAATTCTTTTGACAAATGATAAAAAATTAATTTGTTACATTTTATTTATTTTCTTTATAAGAGCGTTTCTTTAGGCCGTAAATTGAATTACTGCACGCGAAAAAAATTGAAGATATCATTGCTTAAAAAAAAAAATGAAGTCCATTCATCAAAACTTCTTCAAAAAATTTAATTTAGTTTTATCAGAATTTTTCTATTGAGAATATCTCTATATAATTACGCTCTACACGGTTCTCTCGTGGAGCATTACAAGCAAGCCACGATAATTTCTTTCGCGCTAGGTCAACGCACCCTCGCACCACACTCTTTCCGTATTGTTGACGAAGTGAGGGGATAGACAGTCGGATTAAGTATCCTTACCGCAAAAGCGTGTTGCGCAATTGCATTGCTGTGAATTGCGTGGTAACGGCATACTATGTTCTGCGCGTGTACGAGTGTCTCATTTTAGCTAGCGTATGCCCTTAATAGATCCGCTGTCACGAGGCAAGTTGTAACGTGTAAAATGCGTGGCCAATTATTCAAATCACATCAACTTTTATGATAGACGTAATGTTGCTTTAGCGATAATTAAAGAGCGAGATATTGCGTCTTGACTTTATCATTTATGAAACTGAGATATGTTATTTTGATTGAAACCTTGCTTGTTTGTATGTGTATACGCGTATGTGTGTCGTGTATATGGGTGTACACATACACACACATTTGTATATACAATACGTATACATATACGTGTATAGAATATAAATTTTAAACTTTTTGAATAACATATACGTAGTCTTAAAAGAATATTGAAAATGAATATTTATATGTATTTATACAGTGAACTATGAGCATTTAACATTAATTATTTAATATATTGATCTAATTCCTACCTATTCATTTTTTTTGTCTCGTGGAAGTTTCCGGTTAAAATGGATAATCCGAATTAGATAAAATGAATGACACTACAGCCGAGAGCTGTTTTCTCTTTCTTTCAATCACTGACACTAACGTTCTTATAAACCTATAGGCACTACCAATACAATTTTTCCAAACGGCACTCAGTTAATAGCATGAAAATTGATGTGAAGCGCAATAGAATTTTCACTTTGCAAGAATGTTGTTCCCTCTCTCTTTCCTTTTTCTTCTTTTTAATTTTCGTACAAGCAAGGACTGTTTTAAATTTATTGGATCGGGGATTAGATCTATTTTTAAACTCTTCCTATCTTCCATTTTAAATCTCCTGGAAAAGGCTAAAAAACATTGATAAATAACAATAAAATACATTATTCAATTAAAAAATTCATGTATTAGTTTTTATATATAATTACTGTTCATTCAAATGCTATTCGAGCCCATGCTAATTCATAAATGTTTATAAAAAATAATTCTCATTGTAAGCTATCTCGATATTTTGTTATTACTAGAAAATTATTATTTTTGTAACGTTTAAGTAAACGTTTAGCCACATATTACATAATTACATTAGCAACACTTTACCATATCGTTAAACTGTTACGTGTGCTTGGCGCTTATCTTGTATTGACATCAATTTAACTTCTCTACGACAAGTAGATCTCTCATACGGTCAAGCTAGACCTGGCGGACTCGATTGCGGGATGCATCTTGCAAATCTCACGCGTAATGCAATGCGTGCAATTACTCACGACACGTGGCGACTCGAGTGGTTCGTTGGTCAAACTATATAGATTCCGATGCACTGGTGTGCATATACGATGTCAGTGCGCCGGCTGGTTTGTTCATGCTTGCGATGGTATTTGCTAAACGTGCCTGCGTACGTATGCGTGCACGTAACCGATTCTCGCACACGAGCGAAGTCAAAGTTCAGTCACTCCGTAACCTCCTTTCGATCGAAACTATTACACACTAGCCAGCGACTCTCAACCGGAGCCAGATTTTTTTACTTTCATTCTCGTTAAAGCGATTCGCAATATCGCATCAGCAATTATCAAACGCTTTTACCGTCGCAACCGTTTGTCAATCTGACGTGACTTGAGCGAGACGTATTATCCACCGAAATAATTTTCATACGCGCGCACGTTCTCACATGTACGAAAGATTTTTATCGTATTTTTATCGCATTCTCATTCCCCGATGGATTTGGAACAGTATAATCCAAAGTTGACAAAGTTGTCGCGCAAACACCGTCATTTCCTTCAATTGTGAATCCATTACGTCATTGAACGACCGAATTTTTACTCCGAGTTGTAACTTCGACTCGCGCAATTTCTCGAAGATGCCACTCCCTCATTAGGTTAATGTACTTCATGAAACGCTTTCACTCTCTTTCGCTTTCGCGGTGAAAACAGTAGAACGTAAGCGACCGTGCGGCCCGATTTAAGCCGCAAGACATAACGAATGAACGTACGTATACGTAACGTATACGTTGTAGAATAGAATGTACACGACGTGTACGTGTATCACGTAGCGGAACAATTTACTTGCAACATTCTGAGCAGTTAAGATGCTCTAATGATCATTAATGCCTAGTGGATCTGCATAATCGGAGATGCGACGATCAGACAGTCCAACTGTAGATTCGATTGTAAAAGTTTCGTCACGTCACGAGGAACATTCTCGTTATGTAAATCAAAATGATTTTAATAGCTAGAGATTGATGATTATTGGGATGCAAATTACTGGTACGAGCATAAATCCGATCGCATGTGCAACACGTTACTTAAGAAAATAAACGCAGAAACTTAGAAAATAAACGCGAGTGGCACCACCACCTGATGACGAAACGTAAATCGCGAATTACCGCGAGACACCAGTAATAGATATGTATTCAAATTATGCTCTGCGTAAATCTATAACGTGGCCTAATCTCACAGGATTCTATCCCGGAAATTGTGCAACTGCTGCAATCACAGTCGGCTACTCTCTCGCGTTGTTCGTTGTCTTGTTAGGTAATAAAACTTTACTTCCCAATTTCGTCACTTTCAATTGCATAAGGAACGATATGTAGAGTGACATAACTAGCAAGTTGATCGACATTCGATGATTTATTTTTTTTTCACTTCCAAGAATTTATAAGAATAATTTTGATATAGGCGGTGTGGTACTAAGAAAATTGGAGAAAACATCAAGTTTCGTTGATGTATATTTGATTCGCATTTAAAAAAACGGAGAGACACAAGTATAGAAATTTCCAATGATTCACGTTCTTAGGAAAACAACAAGGATATGTTGACAGCTTTCATCCTTCTAAAGAATCTTAAGTTATATACGTACGCGAGAGAAACTTCGTATAATGCATCAGGAGCAGTCTGAGTATTTTTTTTTTTTTCAGACAACGTTCAGGTGCATGACGTTTAACGTTGCCTTCGTCGCCGTCACGATCCAGTAAAACTCCACGTCTCCTCGCGCCCATTATCGGAAGAACTTAAAATTCATCATGCTTCCCCACCTTTTATCGATCCGATCAAGGATTGATAGTTCCCTACAGCCCCGTTACGACGGTCGGAACGCGGTGCCGGCGCGCGAAAGTAAAAGTAGGCGGGCAGCACGCGTTGAACTGCTTGAAACGCGTCCTCGAACGGTCGCTGCACCATCGAGGAGTTACCCCGGCCTCCGTGTTGAGCAATCAGTCCGGTAACTGTAGTTCAGTTTCGCTTCGGCTCTCAGAAATTTCTCGAATGCTCTGAGATACATCCCAAAAAATTTCATTTCGCGATACTTCGTTATTATGCGTTTCACGTATCGATGCTAGCACAAGCTCGGGTGTCTTTCGAAATTTTAATTCTTCCTCGAAGCTGTTCATTGAAATGAGTAGCTATTCTTTTAATAGCTTTAATTTTTATTAAGAAACAAGAATTTAGCTACTTGTCAAAAAGTTCTGTATTAGTTTACATTATAATTGAGCAAAGCGATGAATCGTAACAACTAATTATATGTTTCTAAATTTTCATTTAAATAGAATTTCTTGTATATCTCCCTCTCTCTCTCTCTCTCTCTCTCTCTCTCTCTCCCTCTCTCTCTCTTGCTCTCGCTCTCTCTGCTCTCCTCTTTTCGTATCCTATCCGTCCTCCGCACTTTGCGTCATCAAACGCCTCTAATAACGTACTGTCGTTGTCGCTCGGCTCGATACAAGCCCGACCCGTTTCGTTCGCGAGAATTAGCAGAGAATTTCGCTCCGCGCTCGGTTTTGCGAACACTTTCGTTGCGAGAATAGCATCACACACAAACGCATTCGCTGAAAGTATGCGAATATATGAAAAACGAATATGATCATTGAAAAACAAACGCGGTATGAGTTTTGAGAATCAATTTAAAAATCCAAGAACCAAAGAATTAAAAAATTAT